TTCAAAGGCCCGTTTGTTGTGATGCTGACGGTCGCAAATAGTGGTTTGCAGGATCGTTACCCCGAACACGGCTGGACGACCTGTCTTCAGGGAGCAACGATCGGAATACTACCTGAGGACCAACTGACCAACGTGTACTTACAATGAGCATGCAGCATGATGGTGCTTCGAGTTTCGACTCTCGCGGGACTCCCAGTCGCAAGCCCTAAGCCCGAAATTATGCAATACCCGAAGCCCAAGCATGGAAGCCGGAGCCTCGAAATCCATCCCAGAAATCTTGTCGGACAGGGCCCCGTCGGTATGACGGCAGTGAGCACCACGTACAAGGCCTTGAGTTTTGTGATTGTAGTCAAGTGCTATTGCTGTCAGTACTAATGAGCATCAGAAGAACATCAACTCAAGTCGCAAGATCTCAGCTGAGCCAGGATGGCCTAGGTGTGTGCGCAGCATGCGTGGTCCTGTCGTCTCCGTTTGCAGGCCGGTCTGATGAGCCATTGGATGTGGGGCTTCGGCCCTCAGCTCGCCGTCGTATCGACTCAACAAAAAAATCCTTCCATGAGGCTTCGTACCATGGGGCTACGTGCTGCCAGAGGCAGTGTACTTCCCTTTTCGGTTCTGCAGCGCTTTGCGATTTGCGGGTAGTTCGATGAACTGAAGATCCACAGATTCTGGGAGGGAAGCCGGAATCTCTACACCCACTCCAGTCCTTGTGCCCGGCACCGATGCCTAGATCCCTACACAGTTCAGCCGCCCAATGCCTAAACATGCCCTCAACCCTAAACCATGAGACCCAAACGCCGTAAATGCCCAAACTGCAGACTCAAGGCAACCCAAAGCCCTTAGTTGCAGGCTTGCGGCATCCGGCTCCCCGTGCAAGCACTGCTCGTCTGTGTGGCAGTAGGTGCCATCTTCATTGGCCGGCACCTCGGGTACTACCGCTACTACAACCACTGCTGTCTCCTGCCAGGCTATAACCCGTACATGCTGTCATTGTTAATGCCACTACTTCTACGCTTATGGACACCAATGCTGCTGCTGCTGCTGCTGCTATTACTCGTAGGAGCATATGCTTCTTGCTCCTGCCACACCACCACTACTATGCTGCTGCTCCTACTACTACCAGTAATGCTGATTCCGCTGCTGCTACGGCTACTGCTACTGCTACGGCTTCTGCTGCTGCGGCTGCTGCTGCTACTACTACTGCTACTACTACTACTACTGCTGCTGCTGCTGCTGCTATGACGACGAGGACGGCGACGAGAACAGCAACAGCTACCACTGCTGCAGCAGCTGCTGTTGCTGCTGCCACTACTACGACCACGACGACTACTACTAGAACTCAGTACCGCATCACCATCATCAGTGCAGGACACTGGCATAGCTGCATTATGAGCGGCACCATCACTGTTACTGGCACCACTTCCTTGGTCTCATCGTGACACTTATCTTCATCTCATATCTCTGTCCCCCATCTTCTCGTCAGCATCAATATCATTCTTGTCATCATGATCACCAGTACTATCATGATCCTTGTGGTGGTCGTAGTGCTTTTGATCCGGCTGATGCCAAGTCAGTGATAGGTAGCCTAGTTCCGTTGAAGGTCTTTCGCAGAGCCCGAAAGCCACGCACCACGTCAAAGCCAAGGCGGATGCTTGCATGGGTTGCGGCACAAGTCTCGTCCGGACCACAGCAATTTTTCGGAAATGGGCTTGCAACTTGCAGGAGGAGTGCAGGAATCCAATATGAGACATGTGAAAGGCGCAGAAAGTCAAAATGTGGTAAGCCCGTCAGAAGAGACCCAGAGCAGCAACGGGACCACCATGCTTTCTAAGTTGTAGAAGCAGATAAAAAAAGCCCTCCCCAACCCAAACTTAGTTTCAGAGAAGAACTCGGAACGCCTTTACACCGCACCTTGGGCCAGCTCATCGCACATGCTGAGAATGCTGAGAAGACTTGAGGCCAGGAAGACCAGGACATTCACATCAGCCAGGACAGTCCAGTTGTGACTTGTTGGGACAAGCACAGAAGACAACGTAGTAAGATGTCAGAACAAAGCCGACACGAAAACCGGAGAGGAGTCGGGGGGCGGAGGGGGGGGCATTGATTGATTGTCCTTGCCGCCTCTCTGAGACCTTAACGGTGCTTGTGCACTATCTATGTTATCGGTATGTTGTTTGATGCGATAATGGAAGTCGTAGTTGTAGCAGTGGCAGTAGCAGTAGCCGTAACCATAGCCGTGGCGGAAGTAGCAGCAGCTGTAGGAGCAGCAGTAGCAGTAGCAGAAGTAGCGGAAGTACGTACGAGAAGTAGCCGAAGTAGCAAAAGTAGGAGTAGGAGTAGGAGTAGTAGTGGTAGTAGTAGTAGTAGCAGCAGTAGTAGTAGTAGTAGTAGTAGTAGCAGTTGTAGTAGTATCAGTAGTAGGGCTTCCCCCCGGTGCGACGCCAAGACCTTTTTTTGTTTTGACTTTGTGTTGTCGGAAATGCTGTGTTTTACAGCACCTTTATTCGCAGTTGCTGAAATTTTGGAAAGTGCGTAGGTTTGTTCTTATTTTTTGCTGTTTTTTCAACCTTACTCACTAATCTCGCAGCCAAAATTCCTGGTATTTGCAGCACTTGTCTTGCTGATTTTCTTGATTTTTTGCTGTTTTTGAGGTCTCTATTTTCGTGCCCAAGACACATAGTGATCAGAATGAAGGTTTGTTGGTCTGATTTTGGACGTCCATGGTCTAGTGCATTTGAGAAGAGAG